ATAGTAGTGTTACCTTTGTCTGATTTTCTAATCAATATGTTGTTTTCTATTGATAAATTTTTAATTGAAATGGCTGTTTTATTCTCTTTGTAACAGGAATTTTTGGTTTCACTACACAAATCTGTAATAGATTATGCAAATATACTTTTTCGATATTGTTAGCAGTTTTGTTTAATGCTACTTCACATTCTACACCTAAATATTCTTTAGAACTTACACAGTGGTGTATACAAACTGAAATGTGGCCACTGACCAAAAACTTACATCGGTAAAATTGGTAGAAATTTTAATCAACGAATAGCAGAACCTAAAAGGGCTTCCAATAATAGAAAAACAGATTCTACATACGCATTTTCCTTCTAGATCATAATCATTCTTTTATTTAACGAATTTAAAATTTTTCACATTCAAAATAAAGGCCTTAAGAGACAAACAGTTCTCGCCTTCTCCATTTATTATTATTATTATTATTATTTACAATAGATTTGAGCAGGGGTTGCAAAACCCATATGCCCATGTGACTACAATGTTATATAGTGTACAATTAAATTGTTACATTACAGTAGTTACATATTAAGCACTAACTAACTAAATGAATATACAATAACATAGGTAATAGCAAGTGTTTAGTACAAATTAAATGTTCAACTATGGAACAAAAGGTCATCCAGTTTATTTTTGAAAATATTGACAGATGGAGCATCTATGATCTCAGCCGGAAGGCTATTCCATATCGAGAACACTCGATTACAGAGAAAAAATTGTCTGGTTGTTGTTAAAAAAGTTTCCTTTTTAAACTTAAGTTTGTGGCCACGAAGACGATTGTCATTGTCTATTATGAACATATTCCCCAAATTTCCAAAGTTGTATTTTACTATCCGAAACGTAATAATTAAATCGCCTCGAAGTCGACGTTGTTCAAATGTAGTGAGATTGGCCATATTCAGTCTTTCTGTATACGTAGGTCTTGAGCGACCAAAAGACATCCTGGTGCACTGCCGCTGTACGTTTTCGAGAATATTACGAACATTTTCGCAAACGTTTTATTTAGTAGATATAATTTACTGTTAGCTTTTTTAGAAATATGCAAAATGTGTTCCGACCAACTTAGATTGTAATTAATTATAACGCCTGGATCATTATGCGATTTCACTGTTTTTAACACGCGCCCATTAATAGAGTAAGGAAGACACGGATTATTTTTACCCATGTGAAGAACTACACATTTTTCCACATTAAGAGGCAGCATCCAGGTAGAGCACCATTCCGATATGCAATCAAGGTCATCTTGTAGTAACTGGAAATTTACGGAGGGATCGGAAAATAGCTTCGTGTCATCTGCATAGAAAGCATTGTTGCATTTGATATGAAATTGTAGATCACTTGAGTATGCTATGAATAAGAGTGGGCCCAAAACTGATCCTTGCGGTACCCCACTTAAAACCGTTCTCTCAACTGAGAAAGAGTCCCCAACTCTAACACAAAATTTTCTATCTGTTAAATACGCGTCGATCCATTTCAGTAGTTGACCACGGATACCAAGGTGTTCCAATTTATGTAATAGTCTTCGTTTTGGAACTCTATCGAAAGCTTTAGCAAAATCGAGGTATATAATGTCCACCGGGCTTTTCTGTCTAATGCTCTTGACCATTCATTTACACACCAGAGAAGATTTGTCATTGTAGAACGTCCTTTGACAAAACCATGCTGCTGTTCTGGTATAACCAGTTCATTTTGCAGAAAATCAGAAATTGTCTCGGCAATAATAGTTTCCATTATCTTAGATATTATAGGTGTTAAGCTGATAGGACGATAGTTATTAGGATCCAGTTTGTTCCCTTTTTTAAAGATCGGTGTTACAGATGCGGTTTTCCATATAGGAGGCAAAATATGTGTGGTGAATGATAGGGACATAATCACATATAGTGGATAAGCTAAAGCATCAGAACATTTCTTTAAAAATAAAGAAGATATTAAGTCGAGACCAGGAGACGAATTATTTTTTAGGCTTTGAAGATGATGTTTAACTTTTTCAGGAGTAATGATTATATTTTCAAGAGAAGAAGAAACTCGTGACGAAGTAATATTAGGGAACTGATAATTAGTGGGTTCAACAGAGAAAACCTTGGAGAAAGTACTGGCGAGAAGTTCGGCATTCTCGTAGTTATTTTGGGATATATCCCCATTATCATTTTCCAGTAAAGGTATAGAAACTTTTGTTGTCAACGAAGATCTAATATACTTGTGCAATTTTTTACAGTTATTACTGATGGCTATACTCTCTTCGTAGGCAACACGAGCTTCATGTAAAGATTTCTTTAAATCTCTGGCAAAGTCTCGATGAATTTGTAAATCCTCTAGTCGATTTGTACGTCTATATTTGTTCCACAACTTTCTTTTATACTTGATCAGATATATTAATTCCCCATTAATCCAAGGTTTTATGTTATTTTTGTATATGGTTTTTTTGAGGGTATTTTGGTTTTTGCATAAATTAACAACCTGTAAGAACTTATCCCAGAATACAACTGGATTCCTTGTGTCGCCGAAAACATCATTCCAATCAATGTCGGTCAGTTGGCGATTTGCATTTTCAAAATCAATTATTTCATATACCGTTTTATTAACATTAGGATTAGGAGTACAGTACTGTAAGTTAAACTGAATATGAAACGTTATGACTGCATGATCTGAGTTGCCTACTGGAGAGCTTATTAAGGGATGTGTTAATAAATGGGGATCATTAGAGAATACCAAGTCCAAAATAGATGGTAAATTATTGATTCTGAAACGAGTCGGCTCCGTTATGAATTGATGTAAATTAGAATTTAGTACAAAATCTGTAAATGCGTTTTTGGAAGTTGTTAAGCCACTAGGTGGATCAGTTATAGGCCACGAAATGTCTCTAAAATTAAAGTCTCCAATAACAATTAAATTCTCTAGCCTAGACAGTTCATCAAGTGATGCGATAAGGGACTCATCATCTGCTAATCTAGAATCACCAGGCCGATAAACGCATACTAGGTGAAAAACAAAAGAGTTTTTATGACATATTTTTAAGCCAAGAAGTTCCATATTAGGGACAGTAATATCAAGAGATGTAACAGAGAAATTATTAGTAATTTCTGAAGACAAGTAGATACAAGTTCCTCCTCCACGCCGATTACGACGATCACACCTATAAAGGGAATAATTATCAATGTTATAAAGGGAGTCAGGATCATTTGGTGTTAACCATGTTTCAGTGATAAGAATTATTTGAGGATTTAAGTTTTGAATGTTGCATAAAAATTCATTAAATTTGGAATTTAAAGTAGCTAGATTAGTATAGAAACAGAGCCAATTATGAAAACCTGAAATATCAGAATTAGTGACGAAAGTTTACAATTTTCGGGACACCTTGTATATATTTTATGGTTAAATTTTCCTCTCCATTCGATTTTCTCTGTTCCAGTTCCACTCGAAGTTCTTTTAGGCATTCTATTTGATTTGGAGTCTTATCGTCGATAATGGAAACGTTTTTTAAAGAGACGTTTTGTAAAAGTTTCTTTTTGTTCTTCAAAATATGTTTGGCTTCATGTTCATTTTGCATAATGACCTTTATCATCCTAGGGAAGCGATTGTTTGGTTTTCCAGTCCTGAAAAATGTGACAGGAGTGGAGTTAGACATTACAGTATCTAAAATATTTTTTAATATTCCATCATCGTGACTTTTCTTTGTTTCAATATCTCCTGTAATTTCGGGTACACCCCTAACAAAAATATTCTTAGCCCGGTTAATGCGATCAACTGCTTCATTTGCTATGGTATCTGTAAATTTTGGAGATGAAGAATGATCCTCAATAGATAACTTGTTTTCGATCTGTAAAAGTCTTTCACTGATATCATTAGCTTTTTGGTCTATTAGATCAATTTTTGATTGAAGATTCTCTTTTAGATCTTTTAAGAGCGTCTTTAAATTAGCAAAGTTTTCGATATTAGAGCAGCAGTTGTTGCAAAGAATTTTAATTCCGCGTAGCTTATGCCTAGTAACGCGATCTTCGGCTCGTAGATCAGTGCAAGCTAAATGTATGTTCTGTTTACATGCTTCACATTGAAGTTGTTTTGATGATTCTCGATCATCGATTGACTTTGAACAGTTAGCGCAGGTCGACATGGTGGGAACAGCAGAGCAGCAGTGGGATTGAATCGCCGTAAATAGATATAAACAAAATAAAAAGACTGACCTTGCAATCTGTAGATAATCCAAAATACGGGATCTCTGATGCACTTTATGACGAAATAAAAACACCACTGGCAATAGAAAATTCTTATGTTTAAACTGATATAAAAATGATCGTTAAACTCAAACAATAACCAACTGTAGTTTGTAATAATTCACAGGGAAACGTAAATGATGCCACACACACTACTAGTTACTGATTTTTTATTTCATTAAAGACTATAAAGTGTAAACGCATGCCATAAATAGATCACTTAAGAAAGGTAATCAGCCAAAACAGCTGTAGTGATAAGATTATATAATAAATTTTTGTGGAAGTTTTGAAAACAAAGTTTTTAGTGTTTTATTGTTATTATCTAAATGATCTTTTTGTACTTCGTTTGTCTATCGCCTCAGCTTCATCCAGATGGTTGGGTGCTTGCACCCATACCATGAATAATATTTAACGAGTTTTTTGCAAAGCCTCTTAGTGTGCTGTCTTTTTGATGTTTTTATGAAAACTTCAAACTTTTTTTGTATTTGCAGTTAAAACATGCTATCACTACACAGTTATGGTATACCTACTTTATATACTAAAATTTATTTTAAAAATATACAGCATGTTATTAGGCTAAGTTTCTAAGAGTTTGTGCACCTATAACGGCACCATTCTGGGGCTCGACGTCTGCCTGGGGTAATCAATTATTTGATTACCCCAGGTAATCAAATTATATTTATTTTTGAATATTGTTTATTTATTTTTGAATTATATATATTTTGTATTAATTATATGTTTTAGATCAGATGTATCCTGGAAATTTTGGAAGACCAGAAGGTACATAGTAGCTTTATTAGCTTTTCTCGGATTCTTCAATCTTTACACCCTGAGAGTTAACTTAAGTGTGGCTATCGTGGACATGACGCAGAAGAAAAATATAACGCTGGAGAACGGTGACACAGTTGTGGCAAGTTATTATTTCTTATATTAAGACAACCTTGGTGGATAGCTTATTTAAAGACAACATAGTTATGTTATTTACTTTTTTAATTATACAAGCCATATTAGTCAAAACAATTAACTTAACATTATTACCTGACTTGTATGTTTTTCTGGTAAAAACAACTTTTGTGCTGGTATTTTAATAATACTTTTTGTGTTATTCATCAAACTTTTCATTTTACAGGTTTAATATTAGATATTTATCGTGAAAACTGGTTTGATATGCTTATTGATAATGAAATCGTTATTATCTCTACGGCGATGAATTTAAAAAATATTTGCATTTGGTTGTACAGTTTGTTTACTGATCGTTGCTTATTTACACAATAAGAGCGATGATCGGAAATTGGCATTGGGTTAATGTACTTTTAGTTCTAAAGTACTGTTATTTAAAAAAACAAGGAAAAGCTCTAACCTACATATTAAAATGAAATTTTTATTTGTGTATTTCTCAATATTAGTTTTATGTTTAGTTACAATGATATTAACCATAAGGGCGTATGATAAAAGAAGATGAAAATATGATGTAATAAATCATTTTTAAGATGTCTATAAACTAGATCAAACTATAGACAGTCTCTGATCCTTTCATTTTGATATATTTGTTATTATTTGTTATGTCTGCTCTCATTTCCATATATTGCACTGTTCCTTGCTTATGTAAAATAGTCCTGTTTGTGCTTATACAGAGTGGCCCAAAAGTCTGAAAACGGCCAATTATGTAAATTGCTAGTTATAATTGTACAAAATTTAAGGTACAACTATTTTGGGATACGGAAATTCCATACTTGATATTTGCAATGTTGCCAGATTTGCCGTTTCTCTGATATTATTAGTAACTTTGGTTTTTCAAATGCATCACCCTGTATATTCAGTCATTATTAGAATCTTCTATTCAATACGAGTTCAACTATATGTAACACTTATAATTTTTTATAGTCTGGAAGGTCTTAAATACATAAAACAGAAGTCTGCCAACGCCTAATTGTTTCAATAAATTTTTTTATACTAATTATTTTTAACTACATTAAAGCGTAACAATTGATACATTAGAACATTTTTTAACAATAGTTACGTTATTAAGTGTTCAAAATATGTTCAATTTGTGAGTTGACAGTAACCTAATCGATAGTAGAATGCGTCTACCACATTTCTCCATGATTGTCTAGAAATTATTTGAGATTAATCGCTAATTTGTTGCTTTTGCTCTGCAAGACTTGGCTGGTTAAGTTTTGTAAACTGAATTTTTCAAGTATCCCTAATAAAAATAATCTTTAGGATTAAAATCGGGTGAACGTGGAGGCCATTCAATTCTACCTTGTCTACCAATTTATCGTCCGGAAAATAACTCATTTAAATAACGCCGAACATTTAAACCAACTATCTGACGTTAAATTTCCTTCGATAAAAAATGACCCAATTGACTAAGTACCTACTATACCTGATCATACATTTAATTTTTGTGGTCTGGTATGGAATTCACACATTCAGTGTGAATTTCATACGAGTTCAACTATTCAATACGAGTTAAAAAATATGTAACACTTATGATTGTATGTAGTCTGGAAGGTCTTAAATACATAAAACAGTGGAAAATATGTAGATTTTAACAAATTTATATATTTAAATGTAGAGTGCTGGAATATTGACATTTGTTCACGATTTACATTATAAACTAAAACTGACAGTAGTTGTGTTTCGAAAAGTTCTGTAATTTAAATTGCTTCTCTAAAATGCCGTTCTCTAAACCGTTCTCCTATTCATAAGGCGACGGTACAAAAAACTGTAAAGCGATTTGAGAAATCTGAAGAAGGTAAAGACAGATGGAAAGAGAAAAGTTTTGTTGAAGATCCACATACATCCTCAGGCAGGGTTGCGCAAGTACATGATGTAGGTCGTTCTTAAGTCTTACGTATATTATACGTAAGACGTATATTATTACGTAAAAAAAGGTTTAAACCATAAAAAATAAACTTATTGCAAGAATTAAGTGAAGATGACTTCGATCTTAGATTATAGTTTACTGAGGTAATGATGGATAAAATTGAAAATTATTAAAATTGCGATGAAGCAATATTTACACTGTGTGGAAGTGTAAATCGACACAATTTAAGGTACTGGAGTGACGCAAATTCACACTAAATGCGTGAAAACCATACTCAAAGACCACAAAAATTAAATGTATCATCAGGTATAGTAGGTACTCAGTCAATTGGGATATTTTTTATCGAAAAAAATTTAACGTCAGATAGTTGGTGTAAATGTTCGGCGTTATTTAGATGAGATATTTCTCGGACGATAAATTGGTAGACAAGGTAAAATTGAATGGCCTTAACGTTCACCCGATTTTAATCATAAAGATTATTTTTATTACGATACTTGAAAAATTCAGTTTACAAAACGTAACCAGCAAGTCTTGCAGAGCTAAGGCAAGGAATTATCGATGAATCTCGAATTGTTTTTAGACCATCATGGAGAAATGTGATAGACGCATTCTACCATTGATTAGGGTACTGTCAACTCATAAATTGAGCACATTTTGAACACTTAATAACGTAACTATTGTTAAAAAATGTTCTAATCTATCAATTGTTTTAAGTTTTAATGTAGTTGAAAATAATTAGTATTAAAAAATTTATTGAAACATTTAGGCGTTGCCAGACTTGTGTTTTATGTATTTAAGACCTTTCAGACTATATAAAATCATAAGTGTTACATATGTTTGAACTCGTATTGAATAGGAGATTCCAGTAATGACGAAATATACAGGGTGATGCATTTAAAAAACCAAAGTTACTAATAATATAAGAGAAACGGAAAATCTGGCAACATTGAAAATATCAAATATGGAATCTCCGTATCCCAAAATAGGTGTACCTCAAATTTTGTACAATTATAACTTATTATTTCTTTAAATTTATTCAAAATTGGTTCCTCTTACGTCCCTTCTTCATTTTCTTGCCAATTCTCATTTCCTTCAAGTTCCTCTTGTTGGTCTGTATTTAATAGATCTTCAAAATATTTTGCCTATCTGTTTAATTTTTCTGATTTTACCTAGAAGTAAGCCTTCTTTGTTTTTGTAATACTGTGGATTATTCTTTGTAGTTTCTCCGGATTTATGAAATTAGTAGAAATTATTTACATTTTTATTTATATAGGCTTCTTTTGTGTTTTTCAATTGCTTTTTTGGCCTATCTCTTTCCTTTTTTTGGCAAATTCTTTTCACCACACCACCATACTTATGTTAAAAGAGGGAGATAAGCAACTTCCCCCGAATTATAGAAAAATAGACTTATTTAGCACAATATTAAAACTTACGACAAAGGTTTAAGTAAACGAGATTAATGGTATTATATCAGTAGAGAATGAACAGCATGAATACCGATCAGGCAAATCTTGCACAAATGTCCTTTTTGTCCTAAGACAAAAATAGGAAAATAAATAGAATATAAAAAGCCTGCCTATTACGTTATCATGTCAGCAATATCCTATATGGAATAAAACCATGGACTCCCATTGAAACAGTACGTAAGAGAATTGTGGATCTGGATATTTGAGCATACTGCCGAACCTTGGGAATATCGTGGATGGTCAGAATGACGAATAAAGCAGTTTTACAGCATCTAAACAAAGAAAAAAAGGTTCTGAACACCGAAAAAGAAGCAAATTATAGAACTTTGACCACGTGATGAGAAATGCTATATATGTATTACTATATGTCATTATTCAGGGAAAAACAGAAGTTAAACTTAAGTTTGGACGATAAAGAACATCCTGGCTTAAGGGCCTTCGTCAGTGGTATGGAGCCAACATTTTGACTACTAGCATGCGACTGGTTGCCAATGTTTTTGGAGGACAGTATAAGAATCAATTGATAACACTCAAAGATGCTCGCCCATATATTGGATGTTATCAATATGTTCCAAAGCAACAACCAAGTAATTATTTTTGGTCCTTTGATGTTTCTTATTATGCTAGACTATTAAGTATGGGAGGGTGCCACGAAAAACTAATATAATTGGAATGGAATGGTTTCTTAGATCCTTAAATAGGTGATAATACATTTGAAATATAGTAACCCCTCTCTTAACGGACACCTCTCTTCGCCGGGCCCCTCCTCTATACGAAGAGCTCTTAAAACCAAAATAATTAGGAGATATAAACACCAGTACCCTATAACTTGGAACCATGGAACCTTTAACCATGGAACGTGCAATGCTGAACATAACAAACCAACAAATCCGGCAAAGATCAGGAGTTCAAGACGTCATCGAAAGAACCACGACGCTTAAGTGGAACTGGGCAGGACACTTAGCCAGAACACAAGATGAACGGTGGACAAGACGTATTATTGAATGAAGGCCCAGAAACTATAAAAGAAGCCGAGGACGACAACCGACTAGATGGACCGATGATATAAAACGTGTAGCGGGAAACTGGCTACAAGCGGTCCAGTGTAGAGAACACTGGAAAGAACTGAGGGAGGCCTATGTCCAGCAGTGGACGCGATTGGCTGATTGATGATGATGACCGTTTAACTTCCTTCAATGCACACTCTCAAAAACGAACGTGGGCGATAAATGAACATTTTTGTCCAAATATTTCCTTAACCCGGCAGTTTAAGTAATCGTCAATCATATCAATTACGGAAATATTTTTTTTTCACTGATATACTAATAATTGGTTATGATAAGAAGATACAAATATAAAATTTATGATATAACTTTGGAACAGTTTACAAAAAGGATATAATGCGACTTCTACGGTACACAAAAACAAATATGGAGGTTTATAAGGAACCAACGGAAAAAAAATGGCAGAATTGAAGGAAGACAACAAACAAATGGGAAAGATACCTGACGGAACTGTTTAAAGGAAAGAAAGATAATAATCAACACAATAACGTACCTGAATTAAGACACGAAATATCTCAGATACGAAATATCTCATTAAGACACGAAATCAGTTTTCAGAAAGTAGAGATAGCCATAAATTTAGTCAAAAATAAAAAGTTACCAGGACCAGATTGAATAACCAAAGAGCTTCTAAAATACGGAGGAGAAAGTATAACCCTAGAGATGACAAAGCTTATACAAAATCTTATATTGCACTGCAAGATACTAGACGCGTGGAGAAACACCATAATGATACCAATGTTCAAGAAAGGAGATAAAGAAGACTCCAACAATTATAGAGGTATAAATCTACTGAACACCGCACTTAAGCTCACCACAAAAGTTCTAACTAACAAAATCAATAAACTAACAACATTATCAGATGAACAAAATAACAGAAAAGGATCTCTCTCTCTCTCTCTTCAATCCTGACCCCCCAGGGGGAGTGTAGTGGTCGACGTGATGTCGTGTATTGTTCGTCTCCAGAGATCTCTATCTCTGGTCATTTCTTTTAATTCATGCATAGGTCTTTGGTATATTCCTGTAATTTGATCTATCCATCTTGTTGGGGATCTGCCTCGTGATCTTCGGCCTTCTACCTTTCCTTGTATTATGAGTCTTTCCATGTTTTCTGTGTTTGCTCTCATAACATGCCCAAAATATTTTAATTGTTGGAGATGGACTTTGATGGACTTTGTTGGAGATGGACTAGAGAGTCGTTGGCTAACTTTAAGCTCTTTTAAAATTGAATTAGTTGTTCTACGGTCAGTCCAAGGAATTCGTAACATTCGTCTCCAACAGAACATTTCAGTGGCGTCTATCTTTTTTCTCTCTGATTGTCTCAGAGTCCAAGATTCACATCCGTAGGTCAGTATTGGGAATATTAAGCAGTTGATCAACCTCATCTTTATCGCTCTTGAAATTTGACAGTCCTTCCATATTTTGGTCATTTTTGCTGTGGCAACTTTTGCTAGATCACATCTACGTTTAATCTCTTTTTGTAATGACCCTGTGTTTGTAATTAATGATCCCAGATATAAGTATGAGCTCACAACCTCGAACCGGTCAATTGTGGTTATGTGTGGATGACTGTTGTGTAGTCTATCCACTATCATGATCTTTGTCTTTGATATGTTTAATTGCAGACCAAATATTTGACTTTCGTTTTCGATCAGTCGTATAAGTTCTATCAGCTCTGCTTGACTATTTGCAAGAAGGGCTGTGTCAACAGAAAAGGATAGGATAGTACAAATAGCATGATATAAGTCACCAAATGGACGAAGAAGTATTGGCCGACCAAGAAACAGATGGTGCGATAATTTAAACCATTTAGGAGGCTAACATTGAAGAAACAACAGGCTGTAAAGCCTACATACAAAAAGAAAGAAAAATCATATAACTATTCTTAGCACTAAGTAATAAAAATCTGTTGTAATTTGATGTTTCTACTCACATCTAACTTATATATAAAGCAAAATAACAATTTTTTTTCTGATGAAGCATATTCAATAACTCAACTAGAGCGGGACAGAAGTCAAGAGCAAAGGTTTTATTTTAATATGAAAATAACAAAAAAATTTTGTTATTTTCATATTAAATTTTGTAATAAATTTTGTGTCTATCTGAATATCTACCCATATAATTAAAGTTATTGAACTAATTTTAGATTAGAACGTTTTGCGACGTGAATAACATGGCGTCCGCCAGAAGGAAGTTTGTAAGAAAAAGCTAATTTGTCTCATTATGCAGAGATGCATAAGTTAAGAGTTAGATAGTAGGCAGAAAAAAATTAAAATTGACAAAATTTACGACAGTGAAATCATGAAATATAAAGAATTTTCGCTTCCATGAAAACCTGGAGGCGAAAACAAAAAAAAATTGAAAACCGAAGGGGCTGCATTGGAAAAAAAATGTTTTCGATTGATTTTCTAAAGTGTGGTATCAAATTATTCCTGTTTCTGGCGAAATTATTCAAGAAAAGGTATTAGAGAAGTTGCAAGAGAACTAATTATTGTTAATATAAAAGCTTCTGGTGGATGGCTCGAAAAATTATGTAAGCGACACAATATTTCCTTTAGCTCTATAGGTAGCGAAGCAGCTGCTGTAGATTTATTAGTGGTTTCTGATTAGAAGGAAAAACTGCTCAATTTGTTGAGAGGATATTCTCCGCGAAACATTCTTAACGCAGATGAGACGAAATTATTTTTTAGAGCATTACTTAACAAAACTTATACCCTGAAAGGAAAAAGGTACGCTGGAGGTAAGGTTTCCAAAGATAAAATCATAAATTTATTTTGCACCAATATGATAGGGGACAAAAAACGACACTGATAATCGGAGAAAATAAAAATCTTTGTTGTTTCAGGGGTTCCCACGTAGAAAAATTACCTATCAAATGGTACAGCAATAAGAGGTCGTAGATGAAAACGGAAATCATAACAGACTGGCTAAATAAATTTGATATAAGAATGCAGAGAGAAAATCAAAAAGTTGTTTTGTTCCTAGTCAATGCTGCGTCCCATCTACAACTTGTGTTATGTATTGTTAAACTAATATTTCTATTGCCAAATACTACATCAGAATGCCAACCTCTGGATCAAGGGATTCTAACATGTAAAATATACTACAGACAGTTTTTGATTCGAAGGCTACTATTGTCGTCAATAGACGAATATGATTCTACAAAGGATATTAAAAAGTCTATTAACATTAACAACGCCTTAAACTGGACCGTAAGTGCATAGAAGAAAGTGCAACTGAAAACAATTAACAATTGTTTTCTTAAAACTGGATTAGGTTCGCAGATCGATATTGAGCTTGAGATACTATAGCTTATTTGAAGTTTACCGTTTTGTGCGCCTTAAAAAGTTTTATTTTGCATCTTTCATATTCATTAAGTCTCGATGAGTTAGAATCGGACCATATTCTAGTAGTTTATTACTGACTCATTTAAAGGTTAAGAAACTTAGTTTGATAATGGTGTTTTCAAACTGAATCCACTGTCGAAAGTTTCAAAATAATCGTTTTTAGTAACTTAAGAATCATGAATCATGAAATATATTTTTTAAAAGTCTCCTCATTTCTAGAAAAGTGAATTCGACTGGAACTCTCAGCTTCAAGGATACATTTTAAGTTCTTTCTTCTATGGTTATCTTACCACCCAAGTAATTGGAGGATACTTAGCGACCAAATTTGGAGGAAAAAATATATTTCTGATCGGTGTAGGTATTACAGCTTTACTCACGTTGTTTACGCCAATTGCGGCCAAAAGCAGTGCCTACTTTTTAATAGCTATAAGAATTGCTGAAGGAATATTTGAAGTAAGTGTTAAGAAAATTTAAAGATTACAATATTTTTTTCTTTTTTTTTTTACTTTTTAATCGTCGAGTTAAAACTCGTTCTTTTTTATAGTCATGCTTTTCTACTTAATCTATTAATTTCACTTGTTTTCACTTTTTTCTTCGTATCACTTCAATTTTATTTTCCAATTTTTTTGTTACCCCTTCTGTTTTTTTTCTTTGTTATTAGCTTGATTTGCATGATTAGAGATAAATAAAAAAACTTTGTCAAAATTTAAGATTATATTCGCCTGTATAGATGTAATTTATATCTTAATGCCTCATCATCGAAATGGCGAATGCTGGGTAATGTAGCTAAGGGATGTAAGATTAAAGAAGAATAATAGTGGTACGAGAACTTAATTTTCTCAAGGTATATTAGGAATAGTCAATCAGATATCAAATCGGACCAGCCGAACAAATCCAATTTACTTCATTGTAAATAATTTGGTGGTTGTTTGTTCAAACCCTGTCTAGAAAACAAAAAGGCTAATGTAGTAGTGTAAACTTCAAATAGATCTATTATTTGGGCTACAATACACTGGTGTAGGGGAAGCCGGGGAAATACCGCGCACGGGGGAATATCGCGCATCAGTATCTTGGCAACACGGCGTAAGTATTGCAACATTCACCACAGCGCGTCTCGTACTTGCTAGCCGACAAGGTCACAGATTGTTTGTTTTTCAAGACTTTAATGTAATTTTTGACTAATCTTTAACAAGCGGTAAGTGCTTTTGTTATTAATTTTCATTAAAAATATTCGGTGATTATTTTGCTGCATATGTATAGATAATTTCACGTACAAAAATAATCCATTTTATTTAGTCATTAACGAACAGTGATAAGTTAAGTTAGGTTACTCACTTAGGGGGAATAACGCGCAGCTGTCTCGGGGTAATTCCGTACTGCGCGGTATTACCCCGTGTAAGAATTTTTGCTGATTTAGTGCTTTTATTGCATTTTAGATTCCGAAATGCCTCGTGCTTTCTTTCGGAAAACTGAAAGATCAAAATGGACAGAAGATGAACTAAAAGCTGCGATCACTGTTATACGATCTGGACGAAAAATACGAGAAGTAGGTCGATCATTCAATATTCCAGAATCCACTCTACGTGACAAACTAAAGTCCAATAGCCATAAACAAATAAAACTTGGCACGAAACCATTTTTTAATGGTGAACAGAATTCCACCATAGCCATCCATGTAAAAAAGTTGGCGAATATGTTTTTTGGAGTCACACGATCAGAACCAAGGCGTTTAGTATACCAGTTTGCTGAAGAGCATAAAATAAAACACCGTTTCGACGCGATAAAGAAGATCGCTGGTGAAGATTGGTTAGAACTCTTTTTCAAGCGTTAGTGTTTAGAAAACCCGAAGGTACCAGTCAAAACCGCATTTCTGCATTTAATAAAGATGAGGTTGAACGATTTTTTAACAATCTGCTCATAGTTATGGAAAAGTTCAAATTTCCTGAGAGTCGAATTTTTAATGTAGATGAAACGGGCATTTCTACGGTCCAGAAACCATCAAACATTTTGGCACCAAAAGGTCAAAAGCAAGTATTATCCGTAATAACTTAGGGAAAGAGGAAAAAATGTTACCATTGTTTCGAAATACGAATGAATCCACAATTAACGTATGAGAGGAGACCCAATTGGAGCAATCTACAGATGTTAAAAAAAACGGTTGGATAAATGAAGAGTTATTTTTCGACTAGATAAAACATTTTTGTCAGCATATGAAATCCTCGAAAGAAGATCCAGTGCTTCTCATATTAGATAAACATGAGAGTCACATTTCTTTGGAGATTTATACTTACTGCAGATCACACGGAATTGTTATAGTTTCACGTTCTCCTCATACCTCACACAGGCTTCAACCTCTTGACCTAACTTTTTTTGGGGTACTAAAAAATGCTTTCAATCGTGAGTGCGACTTGTATCTGAGAACTCATACTCATGAAAAGATCACATATTTTGAACTTGCTTCCATTTTTAACAGAGCATACCTAATAGTTGCCACCATGGACAAAGGAATATCCGGGTATCGTGCTGCTGGAATGTGGCCCATAGATACTAATAAATTCTCTGAAGATGATTTCAGCTTAGTAGATCACACTGAAGTTTCAGGTATGCACGTTGTAATGGACTTAGAAACCGACGTTACCAATGATGACAGGGCCCTTGATCAGTCGAGATGTGACGAAACTCTGCAGATAACTTCACCGAGAACTACCTAATCCCAACCGGGACCATCGAGATGTGATGAAACTATGCACAAGACTCCATCTTATAATGCCAAATTGAAATCACACCAACAAGTTGCACCCCAGCCTGGGACGTCAGGAAATATTAAAACTCAGTCTAGTATACCCATTGAAAAGCTAGCTCCTCTTCCTTCCAAATTTATAAAGAAAAGTTCAAAATTACGTGCAAGACAAAACTCAGAAATTTTCACTTCCACGCCACTAAAAACGCAATTAGAAATAAAACAAGAAAAGAGAAATATTAAGAAAAAAGCTGAAGAGGCCAACAAAAAAAATGAAACCAAGAAAAAACCGACAGGAACCGTAGGAAAACTGGCTACTAAAGCAATAAAACGACCTGTACGTAAGAAATCTGGAATTAAAAACTTACACTTTGATGATTGTGAGTCTGAAAGTTATGATGAGAGTAAGCTTTGTGATGATAATGAATTAGATGATGTAGATCTAACATTAGAAAATGGGTAGTGTTTGGTGTGCGGTGAATTCGGACGAAACAAAGAAAGTTGGTACCGTTGTGTAATGTGTTCGAATTGGGCTCCTTAAGAATGTAGTGGTTGGGACTCAGCAGTTAATTATACATGCGATATGTGTGCCAAAGTCGAACGAAAGACAGTCAGAAAGTAAAATTATCTCTTTAACGTTTTTTTAAATTTAGTCTTTAAGAAATCTGTTTTGTTTACAATATTTGCTTTACTACAATAAATTTTTTTTCGAATAAAGATTTATTTAATTCTATGCAGAATTACCCCATACTTGGGGGAATACCGCGTAATGACAGTTTTTTAAAGTTTTTTAAAGTAGATACAAGTGTCAGTAGTTAAATTATGGAAGTTTGATTGCACATAGGAAACTTTTTGTAAGTATTTTACCTTAGGTGCGCAGAATTCCCTCGGTTTCCCCTATCGGATAAAGTAATATATAAGAATATAAACAAATAAGCTTGAACCCAACAAACGATTTAAAATATTATCGACAATGCTATGACTAACAAAACATTGTCACTATAACATGGGACGTAAAAGTTTAGAGAAAAACTGAGTGTGATTCAGATAATCTACTGGTAAAAGCAAGATATAACATTTTGTATGTTTTTATACAAAAATATTAAGTTTATTAAGAATAAAATGTTATGCTGAAAATTACAGTTATAAAGCAATTTTTTCTTATAGGGTGTTACTGTTCCCGCAATAAACGCCGTTTGGGCCCAATGGTCTCCTCCATTGGAAAGAAGTCGTTTGATAACGATATCGTATTCGGGAAGCTTTGTAGGAACTGTTGTAGCGATGCCTGTGTGTTCTCTCCTTGCGGCATCCATGGGCTGGGAAAGCATATTTTACACGTTTGGTAAGATACTGAAAAAAGCATGCAAAAAAACCCCATCGTCGGGCGTTTTCCCCTTCAACTATCAGAAAATATTTTAGGATTTTTTTTTTCGCCAGTGGAACCCTTTCAAAACCATATTAACATATAAAATTAATTTAATTTAATACTGTTTTATCTGCTTAGTATGCGTGTAAATAATTTATGATTAAAAGAACGTTTTTACAAATGAAAAAATGAACATTCATCTCTCTAAAAATATATAAAAAATTGAATAATTAATATGATAATGGTTAGAGATGTGTATATGTGGGTCATTCCAATAAAATCGTCTCGTATTTAAAAAAATAAAAAATTCTAACGGATCTTAGATTTTTTACTTTCTATATAAATATTCTTTGAATATAATTATAGCGGAAGTAAATATTAATAGAGTATAAGACAGTTCGTTGGAACTATTCCACCAAAAGCAAACTAGATTATTTTAGATGCTTCATTTTAAAAATATTTTCGGAGTTTTTCTATATCTTCAGTTGTTTATTAATGTACATAGAAAAAAACCAAAAATAACAAATAAAAGGTTAACCCGATACCAGAGAGAACTGTTAGGGAGGAAAAGGGGAGAACCGATAAAGATTTATGGGATTATGGGTGATCCATTTATTTTTTCAGTGGGCTTTAGCTTCCTCCGTGGTTAATAATAATTGTTGTTGTGGAATTCAAAATCTTTTACCATGGAACTTGACTTAATCCAACTTGACTGCATTATACCTACTATAAATATCGTACCCCTAAATCAGAAAAGCGTATTTACAGTAGAAAGGAACAAATTCATTATTTTTAAAAGCGACCACTTTGGAGATAAATCTTTAAACCTATTATACATAAATATAGTGCACATTCAATCAAGACCAAAAGTTGCATTACGCTTTAGGGACTTAATTTGTGTGTTATTTTTTTACGAATGAAGTTAACTTAAGATGCACTGTCTAACAAGGCTCCAACTTTCAAGGTTTTACAAAAACGATACGTACGTCGTTAGATGAACACAGGATCTTTAGATGAAGGCACATGATCCTTAGAGTTAGCAACCTCGTTATGAGTCAAACAAGAATGATCATTTGCATTGAGACTATCAAAGTGAAGAGTAGTGTGGTATTTGTTATTGAAACTTGTATATCTTCTGAATGAAAGGCATTTGATGATAACATGAGTAATAGACCAGCAGTTTATACAAGATTTTTTCTGGTTAGCAAAGTCAAAATATTTTTGAGGTAATTTTTAGTAAGAAATTGATTAAAAGAAAAATATGTGTGGAGGGACGTAACAATAGTTTTATCAATTGGTTGTTTTTTTTCTCCTCGGTCTCGTGTTTCATTTTTCGGAATTTCTGTACCATTGCAATTGTAGACGTAGAGAAGCCAAGGATTTTTCCTTAATGCTTTTTTACCTTCCTTGTTCTTTTGGTCCTAGTCTATAAACCAAGAATTATCCGAGACACCATAGAAATTAAAAAAAAGATCAAATTATTTTAACAAAAGAGAAGACGGCATCTGGTTACCTTCGACATGGAGAACTCTAATACAGAAGATATCGTCCGCTCCACCCTCCAATCAAAATTCTGTTGTCAAAAACATTCCCGCTAAACTCCGCACCAATTCCTTCGCCAACTACCACGACTTAAATCACGTCACCAGCAACGGTATAAATAAATCGTTTGCTGTTCCCAGTAGCAGGAATTCATTGATTAGTGATCAGTTTAGTAGTGTCTATTATTTGGCTTCCTGATATAACTACAAAAATGCCGAAATCAGCGAAAAGACGTGTTTCTGTGTTTTATCCACTACGACAAAGCGTTTGATCGAGTAAAATACACAGAACTCATAGAAACTCTAACACAACATGGTATAGACCATAATACTGTAGCACTTATTAAAAAACTATATTGGGATCAAATGCCGTCGATCAAAATAGACAATCGTCTGACAGCAGAATTGCCAATGGAAAGAGAAGTTCGTCAAGGCTGTGTACTTTTTCCACTGCTATTTAATATATATTTCGAAAAGATCTTTCAAAATGCCCTCGAAAATATTAAAGAAGGAATAAAAATCAACGGAGAATACGTAAACAACTTAAGAAACGCAGAGGACACCGTCATTATTGCGGAGAGTGCTGAGGGTTTACAACAACTTTTGAATGTCATAACCAGAGAGGGAGATAGCTTGGGAGTAAATATAAACACAGATAAAACAAAAGTAATGGCTGTTACATATGCACCAAATGTCGACATTAATATTCATATTTATAGCAAACATATAGAACCAGTACAAAGATTCCAGTATCTTGGTTGCTGAATAACAAACGATCTTGACCACGAGGTCGAAATACGTGCTCGTATAGAATATGCTAAGTCCGCAATTTAACGAATGAAAAAATTCCTAATAAACTCTACGTTATCGGTGTATATCCGATACCAATTTGTAAAAACGTTTATTTGTTCCATATTGCTATACGAAGTTGAAACATGGACTCTCGGAATTACAAGTATGAGGCGTATAGAAGCCTTTGAGATGTGGGTTTGATGCTAAACATCTCTTGGACAGAGAACGTGACCAACAACGAGGTGCTAAGAAGAATGGGTACTGAGAGAGAACTCCTAAATTAATTACTGTTAAACTGGGAATAAGCCACAATTAAAGAGAAAAATACGTTTATTGACGTTTCAATTTCCACTTCGGAAATCGTTCTCAAAATACAAACAGTAAATTAAACAAATTTTGTTTTTGTTACGTAGTGAAAAATTTTTCTAATAATTTAATTTTATCTGACTCATTTATATTGACAATTCAGACATACATTATGCATTTTAAAGTAGACGATTTTAAAATGATATTGCCAATATTGTTGAGTTGCGCTCCTGGGACGACTTTACTTATAAGATAGTTCATTCGATTACATGAAATCAACTTTAACTTGAGAATATCCGTCAGAAAAAATCATAGCATGTAATTCGTCTTTAAAAAGACAAACACATGACATGATGACAGTAAAATTCTCCTGTTAGTGATTCCATAGTAAATTATGAGGGAAAAACCAGGAAAAAAACCTCATACTACTATCCCGACATTGTAAGTATCTGATTTTATATGTTACGTTATTTAAAAAACATAAATGATGTATCCTCTATATGTTACTGACTTACTAATACTGGTATTTTCTTATTAATAACTTCCTCTTTCAATATTGGTAACCAGCTCCTACTACATTCTGCCGAGGAATTTGCGACACAATTGGCCTCATTTAGCATAATTAGAGCCGCTTCTGTGATTTTTCTTTTTTGACCATCCGTTTCTTTTAGGACTACATATGAATTATTCCATTGAACCCTATGTTCATTATCCCATGCGTGTTTACAGATTTGAGATCTATCAAATTCTCTATTTTTAATATAAGATTGATGTTCACTTATTCTAACATTTAATGGCCTTGATGATTCACGTAAATAAAACTGATCGCATTCACAAGGTATTTTATAAATGCAATTCTTTGTGTAAATTCTTTGTGCAATTCTCAATATGGCCTCATGGACCAGAGTTGTTGGACACATTCCTAAATGATATAAACGATAAAGAAGAGACAATAACATTTACCATGGAAAAGGAATATAATAACACGCTACCTTTCCTGGATGTTTTAATCTCTAAGAACGATACTAGATATGAGACTCAGGTGTATAGAAAACCAACACACACCAATAGATATTTAAATTTCAAATCAAATCACAATATTAATGTAAAAAAGGGAATAATTAAATCCTTATACGATAAAGCCAAAATTACTTGTTCTAACGAAAATTCGTTCTTGGAGGAGAAACATTTGTTAACATCTGTTTTATTAAAAAATGATTATCCTTTATCGTTTATAAATAAGGAATTTTCAACAATCGATCGAATAGAACAGAACAACTTAGAACGAGATCCTACAGCATACACAAGGAATAATATGAGGAAAATACCAATACCGTACATAAAAGGATTATCAGAAAAACTTAAAAGGATAGGAAATAAATTCAACATTTTAACAACATTCAAAACAACAAACACGTTGAGATCTATTTTGTCCAAAACCAAACATAACAATGAACAAGAAAGGACAAAGAATTGAATTTATAAAATACCTTGTGAATGCGATCAGTTTTATTTAGGTGAATCATCAAGGCCATTAAATGTTAGAATAAGTGAACATCAATCTTATATTAAAAATAGAGAATTTGATAGATCTCAAATCTGTAAACACGCATTGGATAATGAACATAGGGTTCAATGGAATAATTCAAATGTAGTCCTAAAAGAAACGGATGGTAAAAAAAGAAAAATCAAAGAAGCGGCTCTAATTATGCCAAATGAGGCCAATTGTGTCGCAAATTCCTCGGCAGAATGTAGTAGGATCTGGTTAACAATATTGAAAGAGGAAGTTATTAATAAGAAAATACCAGTATTAGTAAGTCAGTAACATATAGATGATACATCATTTATGTTTTTTAAATAACGTAACATATAAAATCAGAATTTTGATGTTTGTTGAATGTAAACTAAATTCACGAACAAATACTTACAATGTCAGGATAGTATTATGAGGTTTTTTTCCTGGTTTTTCCCTCATAATTTACTATGGAATCACTAACAGGAGAATTTTGCTGTCATCATGTCATGTGTTTGTCTTTTTAAAGACGAATTACATGCTATGATTTTTATTTTGACGGATATTCTCAAGTTAAAGTTGATTTCATGTAATCGAATGAACTATCTTATAAGTAAAGTCGTCCCAGGAGCGCAACTCAACAATATTGGCAATATAATTTTAAAGTCGTCTACTTTAAAATGCATAATGTATGTCTGAATTGTCAATATAAATGAGTCAGATAAAATTAAATTATTAGAAGAATTTTTCACTATGTAACAAAAAATAAAATTTGTTTAATTTGCTGTTTGTATTTTGAGAACGATTTCCTAAGTGGAAAATGAAACGTCAATAAACGTATTTTTATCTTTAATTGTGGCTTATTCCCAGTTTAACAGTAATTAATTTACAATGCCACAAGAAAATAGCTTCAGAACAATATTAAGAACCCCTAAATATTGTAAAAAACAGAAAAACGAGTTATCAAGAACATATTTACAGAGGAGACAAATACAACTTCCTACGACTTATAATGAAAGGGAAAGTGGAAGGAAGAAGAGGTCGAGGAAGAAGAAAATGCTCCTGGTTGAAGAATATAAGAGACTGGACAGGCATGGATACACATTCGGTACTCAACCGAGAACAGCTCAAGATAGAGAGCAATTTGCTGTAGTTATAGCTAACCTTTAGTAATGGGGAAGGCACCTTAAGAAGAAGTAGTAGTGTCTGGGGGCTCGGTAGAGAGATGTTACAATATGTTACATGCCGTTTTAGTTACAAATTTTCCCGTGTGTTTGTTCTAAAAAATGTCCGATATTTGTATGAATTTCTTATAAAACCTAAATCAAAATAAAAGGAGGCACATTCCTTCAACGCTTAATTTGTAAAACCATGAAAATGTCCTAAATTATGAAAATGAAAATATGTTGAAAAGTTAAATATGTTGAAAAATAAAATAACATACATGAAAACATGTTAGTTGAAAGAACCATTTTAAAACCATAAATACTCATCCATCTTGAAATAGGAATTTTTAGCAGAACTGATAGTTGTTTAAAAATTTGTAAAAAGCATATTAAAGATAATTTTAATAAAGTTAGTAGATAACTTGAACATAAAAGTTTTACTATAATTTAAATGATTTATTTCAAACTAAAATAAAAAAGTGGAGTAATTCTTATTTTAAATAATTATTTTATTATTCTGAATTTATAAAAATAAAACAATTTAAAAATTCCTACATTATCGCATAAAAATGTTTTAATTAAGTGAAACATACTTAGTGGAATTATTGGTCTAGATATAAATCACATTCTCACTCAAATCAACAAACATAAACCCAACCAACCACTTGCGGTTTGATTAACAATCTACTGTTTTAGGTGCAGTTGGCCTACTTTGGTGTGTATTTTGGATATTTATTGTATCTGATACGCCAGCTGGAGACTCGTCAATTAGTGCGAAGGAACTAGAATACATACAAAAGTCCATCGAAAGTGAAAATAGTCAAAAGAACGAAGAAAATACGCCAGTACCATGGCTTTCCATGTTCACTTCTTTACCAGTGTGGGCTATTGCCGTTGGGTTCTTCTGTGAGACTTGGGGGTTTTATACCATGCTCACCTACTTACCTAAAATTATGAAAAGTAAGTGAATAATTTAGATGGTGTATTTTTGTGAAGGCCAGAGGCCTCTTATTTCAATCGGTGCACTCTCTCATCGATCAAAATCAGATCGATGTAAAATATTACCAAATATCTTACACCTACCTTATATATTCTGACTATATATTTAACTTTATATAAAGCCTCTCAATTGGGTATTCCAAACTTTAAAAGTTTGGTAACCAAAATAGTTGTTCTGATCGAGCAACGTTCTGCGCGATTCGCCCATTTATTTGAGACAACTGGTTGTGTAAAGAACTGACTAAGACCCGTACGTTGAGAAAACGCAAGATATACTAAAATCATCGCCACTGTCAGAGTATGCAGGAGAATCTGAGACAGTCACTTTCAGATTGCCTACAAGAACTCGGTTTTTCACAAACCATAACTTAGCAAATTTGTTGTGACTTTGCAAGACTTTGTAACCTAAGAACTGAATTGGACGACTATAGACAACGACGTGTGTATGCTGAATGAGTTTTGGAGCAGTTGAAAACTGACTTCAATTTTCATCGAAAAATCATCTTTCGCAATGATATCTATTTTTGGATGAATGGGAATGTCATGGGTACCAAACAGCATTGTCGAATTTGGGATAATGACAATCCAAATAAGATCCAAGAGCGTTAAATTTATCACAAAAGTCACTGTTTGTCTCTTTTGGCTGGGTTGTTGGTCTATGTTTTTTTGAGAATGATGCTGAGCAGGACATCGTCATCAACATCAAGTGCTATCAACTTATTTTCGCCTGAATTGGATGATATAAACACCAACGACATGTGGCTTTAACAGGACTGCGCTACGTTCCACACAGCTAACATGCTACATTGGACATTATATACGAGAGATTTATAAAACAAAATAAAATACCAGAAGAAGGGAGAACTAGCAAACTAATTTTATTATAAAAAAGGGATAAAAAACAGTCAGAAAACTATATAGGTATCACCTTTTTTTAAACTACCCTAAAATTTATAACTAAAATTTTACGATAAGTAACAAATCCGAGGATAACTTTAGCAGAACAACAATAGGGTTTTCGTATTTGTACACATAGTGTAGTAGACCAGCATTTCTGTGCCTGATTGACTTAAAGAAACATTTGACAGAGTAAGACTTAAAGATGTAATATATCTTCTCTATACTCCTAAATTAAAAAAAAACTATTGAAAAAATATACCAAAACTACAAAATAGAAGTCAGAATATATAGATAACTTACAGATCCCTGTAAATAGGCAGCGAAATAAGACAGGTGGACTTATTGAACCCTATGCTCGTGTCAACAAAGAAAGAGGATACAGAATGGGAAACAAAGAAGTAAAAATACTCTGCATCGCAGACAACTCAATATTGGTAGCCCAAGATGAAGACAGTCTGTAAAAAATAGTCCACAGATTTAACATAAGAGCAAAAGAATTTAATTTGACAATCTTAACTTAGAAAACTAAAACAATAGTAATCAGCAAAGAACCAATCATATGTAAAATAGAAATTGATGGCATTGGTATTGAACAAGTCGGAGAATTAAATAACCTTGGAATTACCTGTCCAGCTCTAGAGACCTGGACAAAGAAGTGAGAGAACAAAGTTAAAGTTAAGAATTTATAAAGCCAGTTTTAGACCAATAATAATATATGCATCAGCCACAATACAAAGGCTACTGGAAATATCAGAGATGAGTACTGAGAAGAATTACAGGACATACGCTACGAGTTCAAAAGAGGAGTGAAGATATTAAAAGAAAACGTAACCTACAGTGTATAACTTAGTACACTTAGTGTCTTTTTGTTTCTTTAAATAATTCCTTATCAGCCAATTTTTAACTTTATTTCTTGCAGCAGCTTTGGTGATACCACACAATTGTTTTGGGCCTACAAAGTTTTCTCTCGATTCTTGTTAAAAATGGCAAAATTATGCTTCCCCATCTGTTGCTTCATTTCCATGCACCTCTTCATTACTTCGCATCCATAAGACACTTTATTTTTCCAGGTTATTAAGGAAATCTTTGAAGTTCTTCATCAGTTTTTCTATTTGAATGGATCTGTTAAAGATATCATTACCAAATTATTTATATCTTGGCATTTCTGTTATGATTTCCCCAAAATATTAATTTTCTTTCTGTGTTTAGATGTTCTGAAGTTTGACATAAAATCAGCTGGTTTCATATCAGCATTGCCTTATCTAACCATGGCGATTATGATGCAACTCGGTGGTCAAATTGCAGACCGTCTGATGGTAAAACAAATTTTATCAACCACTCAAGTGAGAAAGTTGTTCACATGTGCGGGTTTTCTTTCACAAATGGCTTTTATTCTTGGAGCCGGTTTCTGGCTGTCCCAAGCAGGTATAACATTTTGCTTGGTTATGGGTGTTGGATTTGGAGGATTTGCTCTGGCTGGATTTGGGTGAGTATACCTGGATTTGATTAGGATAGATACTAAGCTTATGACTTAACCATAAACAAGATACCAATTGAGGAGTTTGCTGTAAGAAGGATGCAACTCCATATTTAGACCGTTTTGGGTGGAAACATATGCCTTAATTAAAAAAAAAATTGTCGAATTGACTGGTATAAGAACGATGCAGATCCGATGATAAATAAAGGAAGTGTACGTCTTAATGGATCTGCCTCCTCACTCATTTGGTGCAAGAAGGGTGTAGCTACGGACCTGCATCCTTTTTGCACCAAACAATTGTGAATGTTCGGTGATTTTCGTGTAATGCAAGGTCATCTTCTGTTGGCGCTGGGCCGGCAGGGCAGCTGATTTGTTTTGACTTGTTAGTCGCTATCATTACTGTGTGGCGTGCATTTTCATGCGTTTTAATTGTTCGGGTAAAAATTTAACATCGTGTAAAAATGAGTGAAACGTAGTCAGATCCGTTTAGCGCTAGTGATCCTACAAGCTCTGATGAAAGTTGTTTAAATAGTGATGTCGCAGGACCTTCAGCTAGGAGGAAGCATCCAAAGAAGAAACGTACCTCTGTAAAAAAAAACAACACATTGAACCTGTTGTCAACATGAAGCGTACGGAAGAGCCACCAGTTGTTCCTGTAATAAAAAATAGAAAAAGTGCTAACCTTACTCTCTGGAAAAGAAATATGAAAAAAAAGCTATTGCAGAAGCGAAAATGTATAGAACTGGAAAGGAATACAGAAGGGACCGAGATTAACTAGATCAAACTACAACTGCAGGTACAACTGTTTTCAGAATGTGGACGAATAATCAAGAAAAGTTGTCTTACAAAAGTTTAACAAAATAGGTGACAAAGATTTGGGAGGGTTGATTCAAACGACTACTATTTAATGAACCCGAAAAGAGATTAATGACAGGCAAAACTGCACTGGTTCCCACAAATACTTTATAAAGCTCGATAAGCTATCTAAACGAGTTTGTAGACATGCTTTTGGTTAAATCCAGGGCATATCAAGGAAACGTGTAGAACCCATTGCTCAAACCTTTCGTGACAGAGATATTGCAGTGCTCCCTAGTAACAAAGGAAAGCATACAAATAGACTCAACCAAAAACCTAACGAAACACTCAAAAATGTGAACATGCACATCTAGAGCTTTCCAAGGCGTGAATCGCATTATAGTAGAAACAGATCCCGTCGATTCTTTTTATCTCCAGATCTAAATGTTAAGAAGATGCATCAACTCTATTTGGAACTTTACGAACCAGAAAGTGTTAGCGATACTAAATATAAACCCAAAGTTCCCTATGACTTCTACTATCGATACTTCAAAGAAAACTTCAACTACAGGTTCACCTCGATCAAATACGTACAAAAAATGTGATGTCTGGGATAACAAACTCAAAGATGCGACCCTCGACGAAAATGAACGAAAAGTTTTAGCAGCGGAAAAGAAGTTGCATCAGGGCTGATTTTGTTTTTCAAGAAGCTGAGGAGGAAGCCACATTGTGCAAGCATACTGACGAAGTGGAGGTTCTAACCTTTGACTTCCAACAAAACATTCCACTTCCAAAAATTCCTGCTGGGAAAGATTTCTACAAACGCCAGTTGTGGACATACAAATTCTGCTTCCATTTTGGTAAGACAAATCAAGCACACTTTTATATGTATGATGAAACTACGGTTCGAAAGTCACCAAACGAGGTAGTGTAATTTTTTTACCACTATATAAAACATATAGTTTGGGATGGGCAGATAATGTCAAGAAGCACGTGGGCTCTAGGTGGATGACTGTAGCGATAGACAGAGAAGAATGGAAAAGGATTGGAGAGGCCTATGTCCAAAGATGGGCCGAAAAAGGCTAATTAGATAGATATAAAAAATATAATGAAAAAGACAGAAAAGATTCGATTTCACTTACAAAGTGTCTATGTATCTATTGATACGTATTTCGACCTAATAGGTCTCATCAGAACAGGTATTCATATGCGTTCTTAAAGTGAAAAATCAATCTTTCCTGTCTTTTAAGAAGCAACACTAAAATGGCTTCGATATGGATGCAATAGCGACATCTTATAATAAACCCGTAAAAAAATTCGAAACGCAATTCAGATTTCTGCTTTAATCTGTGCTTTCTAAAAATTGCAAAGCAAAACAGACGTTGATAAAGGTGTTAAAAGAGACATAGGGAATCTAAAATTTGCATTCCACGACATATCTTTTCAACTAAGCAGAAATCCTTAGCGAATTGGTTTCTTGTACTTGTACAGAGTATATCAGAATAAAATGAAAAAGACAGAAAAGATTCGATTTCACTTACAAAGCGTCTATGTATCTGTTGATACGTATTTCGACCTAATAGGTCTCGTCAGAATAGTTATTCATAGGCGTTCTCAAAGTGAAAAATCAATCTTCCCTGTCTTTTAAGAAGCAACACTAAAATGGCTTCGATATGGACGCAATAGCGACATCTGATAATAAATCCGTAAAACAAATTCGAAACGAAATTCAGATTTCTGCTTTAATCTGTGCTTTCTAAAAATTGCAAAGCAAAACAGACGTTGATAAAGGTATTAAAAGAGACATGGGGAATCTAAAATTTGCATTCCAAGACATATCTTTTCAACTAAGTAGAAATCCTTAGCGAATTGGTTTCTTGTTTCATTTTATTCGGATATACTCTGTACGAGTACAAGAAACCAATTCGCTAAGGATTTCTGCTTAGTTGAAAAGACATGTCGTGGAATGCAAATATTAGATTCCCCATGTCTCTTTTAACACCTTCATCAACGTCTGTTTTGCTTTGCAATTTTTAGAAAGCACAGATTAAAGCAGAAATCTGAATTGCGCTTCCAAGTTGTTTTACGCCATACTTTATTCGCCATATTTTCGCCGTTTCCAAAAATCAAATCTTGCTTGAAATGAGCTTGTCACGTGTCATTGGAGAACGTAAAGCAAAAATCGGTGCAGCTACTCAACAGAGAGTCGCAAGATAACCTATAGTACTGCTTCGTATATGGAGCTATGTAGAAATGCGAACGGAGAGTATATTGAATTAAAAAAACGAAAAATGCTTAATAAACATGTTATACCAATAGTCTCGGAACTTGATTTGCTAAACCTCGTATTTATCTCTTTTGTATCTGTATTGCTTTTATAGTTTATTAACATTTTTGATCCTTTTTAGAGTTAATGGATTAGATATAGCTCCCAAATATGCCAGTATTCTTGTAGGATTCAGTAACTCTTTTGGAACTGTCCCAGGAATTATCAGTCCTATACTAACTGGATATTTGGTAACACATGAGGTAAATCTTGAAAGTGTCTTCTATTACAGTTAAAAACAAAAATAAAAACTAATAAATAGAAACACATCGTAACAAAAATACATACATTTAGGACATTTCACAAAAGACCCCCTCTGTAGCTCAGTGGTAAGAGCGCCTACCTTTAAACCTAAAGGTCGTGGGTTCGAATCTCACCTGGGTGGAAATTTTCGTTTATTAAAAAAAAATTAATAAATGAAAATAATTTCTATCCTTGTGTGATCGGTACTCACCGGAGGGACCGCAGACGTTCGGATACAATTAGCGTCTCTTAGCAAAGACAATGACGTCGACTTTGCTAAGTATCAAGACAATTACTCTACACACACACACACACTACATTAATAAACTTACTTTGATTGAGACTGGCTGAATGACAATTGTCCAAGCCAAAACACACAAAAAAAGGACATTTCACAAAATAGCAATAATAAACTTAATTTAACAAATTAAACCGTTAAATAAAAAACCTAGAGGGAACTCAAAAAAGTTATTTTTAAACATAAATATGTTATGTATTATCCTTCTTTTCCTGTCTTTGTAACCTTTAATAAGTAGACAATTATAGCATAATTTTATACTTTTAGGACGATATCAACGAATGGCGAACAATATTTTATATATCATCGGCGATATATCTCTTTGGAGCGATATTCTATGGTATATATGCATCTGGACAGCTACAGCCATGGGTTCAGACAAATCTCAGTGTTGATCAAGTTGATGAAGAAAAATATCCCGACAAAACTACAACAAAGCAAATATCTGATAATAAAATTTCTCAAACATAAAATAATCATCATAAAACTAATATTTGTTTGCTAATTTCTTAAATTACCTTGTAAAAATAGCAGGTGCGGATTGAATCAATTTTTATTGTTATGTTTGTGATACAAATCTCGTGAAAGTACAAAAAAATATTCAAAATTAAAATTAAAATTGTTATTAATATTGTATTTTTTTATTAACGAATTATCAGCTATTAAAGGCATTATTAGTGTCGAAGTCTTAGTGGTGTCTGTCTTGAGACTTCAACTATTACCAAAAAAACTTTTTCTATCGACAACCACTCGAAACAGAGTCTTACTACTACAATGTTCATTTTGAGGGAAAGGTTAGGATTTTTATTTCGAAAGGATGAACATGTGTGACTCCCCGTTTAGGTATAGTAGTAGTATGTTGTATAGGATAGTTTCTCAGAAGACAATATAAGTTGGACTTATACTAGAAAACGGGCCGAATTAATGTTTTATGCGTATGTAGGAGAGTTTTTGAGTCGGCTTTTTCAATTACCCCCGTAAGTGATACAAGAAGGCGGGCTCGATTTCTGACCCTATAAAAACTTGTCTTTAGATTATGTTCCTAAAAAAAAAAAAAAAGAGGTTAGTCTTTGTAAGTGGGTATATTTATTTAAAACCCCTTAAAAGGGCTACATAAAAAAAACAAACGTTTTCGGACTAAACAGTCCATCATCAGGTTGAAAATCTGCCTAAAATAAGTACAAACCATTTAGTTAAAACAAACGTGATTATGAAATTTTGACTATGGTTAAAAAGCAAAAAGGCTATACTTACTAGGTTAAAATGCCTGAGCCACCAAAAATACATGGGTAAAAACCCTTTAAATTACTTACAGTTATCAAAGATTATACATCTTGTTGTTAAAGAAAAAAAAATTAGTATTAATAATTATACATAGGATGTTAGTATTAATTAAGTAATGTAAATAAATAATGTAAATTAGGTAATGTAAGTAATTAATTAGTATTAATAATTATACAGGAACATATTATGTTCCTAGTTGAGTGTCCTAGTAAAAAGAACACCCAAAAAGGAAGCTGTTGGGCTGATTTTTTTGTCCCATCAAATCCAAGGGGAATTGATAATCGCTGCAGCGATTAATTGGTCTTACCACAGCCACCTTTACTTCCAAGCCATGAAGTAGAAATTTGGCAACAACGCGTGGTAGTCCGACCGTGGTTTGTTTTGTTTAACATTTCATATAGGAAGGCTGGTAAAGTTTGTTGAATTTACTTAGTGTTTTTTTAACCGTATTCGAATGTTTTATTTGTAAATTGTGTTTAAATCAATTAGAAAATATTAATCTAAGTGAAATTTCATTAAGTTTAGAAGATTCTTAACGACAATTTAAAAGGCAAGTATAAATATAACCTACAAAACTAACTGAAAATAATAATACTTTTACTTCTTGTTACAAAATATGTAAACTAAAAACAACAATAATAATACTTTTGTTTTTTTGTTACAGATGCCCTGGCATTGTTGTGTACCTGGTAGCAAAACCAATTATGCCAGTATTTTAAAAACGAAACAGGCAGAAAGTACGTTTTCGTTTCCCAAAGATCCCCAACGAAGGTATACTGGGTTATGCTCTATTCATAGAGAAGGCTATACAATTACCAAATCTTCCGTAGTATGTGCCAAACATTTTCATGAAGATGATATTCAGCGGACTGAACAATGAGAAGATAAAGATGGAAATGTACACATTGAAAAGTTAATATTTCCCAAATTAAAAGACAATGCAGTTCCTAATATATTTTCTGAAGTACCATCATATGTAACTGTTCATCGTACTAAAGAAAGAAGGAATCCCGAAGAGAGAAGACACTTTTTGCATGAGAAGAGGGAACAAGAGATAACAGAATTCTTAGACAATGATTTAATAGATTCATTTGAATCATTTTTAAGAGTCTTAGACAATAATATCCCTTTGAAAAACTGGACAAGTAAAATTACAAGTGACTGTGTATATTTCTTTGTATTAAACATTAATCAGTTGGGACAAGAGTGTGATAATATTTGTGTAATAAGTAGTGTAATACTTAGCAGTAATTTTAGTGTAATTGTCAATGTAGGTAAGAATAGATTAAGTAGTAATGATTTGAAATGGATTTTACAATATAGTAAATTAACAAGATGGTCACAATTAGAGAACGTACTTTCTCGATATAGATCTGCTTTTTAGATAAGTGATAACAAATTTGAGCATTACATTTAAAAATCTTTTGAGAATATAGGCTATTTTAAATCGATATACAAGTTATAAATGGTATGTTACATTAAACACATTTTTCATGTATACCTCTTTTAACTTGGTCTATATGATAAAAAACCTATTCATATATAAAATTGTTACTTTCGTATACCTAAGTATGAAAATTCAACAAAAGTTATAAGTAAATAGTAAAATATTTAATTTTCAATTAGATTAATTTAGAACCATATTTATATTGTGTCTGATTTCTTAGGATGAATTTTTTAATCATAATAGTTACACTAAGTTTTTGCTTAACAAATTTTATATCTTTTGTATTTTTAATAATCTTTTAAATGTCGTGTTAATGTATTGTGTTATTTATATGCTTAAGTACTTAATATTTAAAATTTCTGGAGATTCTTGACTGCATTTGATTGTAAGATTAACTGTTTGACACTGTATTTTAAGTGCAATAAATTTTACTCTAATAATTATTTTATTGATAATATAACCTTAATAATAATAAAACTTTATATAGATTTATTAGGTATATATAAGGTTTTATTAATTTAATTTCCCTAAAAATATTTCTGTAATGAATTAAGATTTTCAAAATATCAGTTTCCCAAAATTCAAATAAATTAGTTTAATTTTCTGGTAGACCTTACAGCTGATTATCGGACTACCGACGTCATAGAATGCGGTGTTGCCTTTTTTGCTTCATGGCTTCTAAGTAAAGGTTGTTGTGGTCTTACCCTGTTTAGCTGTTTTTATACTCTCAGTATGCGTGGGAACAGTATGCTCGGAAATGGTCTGAGCGGGATAGGTTGGCGAGGGGGGTCGCAGAAGCAGCTGTCACCAGCCGCCCCCAGCAGTTTTTAGCGTCATCGCGCGTGTCTAAGCTGTTAGGGTGTTTTTCAATTTCGTTGACTTCATGGATAATTCTCGATTTTAAGGAGCGGATAAGAGCGATGATTTTTGCTTTTTCGAAATCTGAAGGATTGAAGGACTAACTTAGTATCTGAATGTTTTATAGATATAGAATGTTCGTAAAACGCTTTAGGATTTAATCTTTTACAAATCTGAAGAGAGTGGATAACTTGGAGTGAGTAGTAAGGATGGGTTTGATGTTTACAGGGTTAAAGATTCTACTGACCTTCTCAGTGACACTTTTGATAGAAGGTAAAAAGATTTTGGGTTGATCGGGCGACAATTTTTTTTTCCGATGAAACGCGGTTTAAATAATTTTGAATGCTCCTATTGATTTGGGTTTTGTGGTAGCCGTTTTGTAAAAGTATTTGCCTTATTGAATTGATTTCAGATGATCTGTGATTGTCGTCGCTAGGTCTTACTCTTTGCTAGGTCTTACTGTTACTGTCTTACTAATAAAACACTCATATTCTAAGGTTATTCCGTATTTATACTTAGAATAGTTATCCTAAGTATAAGGTAAATATAGTACTAAAATAATTTGTTACAAATAAACTTGGTATAAGTTAGTTATAAGTATTCCCACTTTATTCCGAAATAATAGTTTGGCAATGTCGCAATATTTTGCATAAATACATGGAACAACGAAATATTGAGTGAAATATGTCAATTTTGATTTTACTTTGAAACTGACAATGACAACTGACACCATATATATCTTTATTTAATATCTTATATCAAAGAATATAGACATAGACTATATTCTTTGCTTATATGTTGAGTTTGAGTATTTAAAAATTGCAAAAACCTTACACCAACTTTAGAAAACCGAAATTTTATTCTAAATTCTCTATCAGTGTTTTGAAAGGGATTTATTATTTCTTAAAAGTTTTTCTTTTTCGTGTATTTTCCATCATGTTAATTAAATATCAACTTCCTCGACAGCCGCAACACCTCTTAAACACATTTTTTTTATTAAAATATCTACTCACAAAATAATCCAAAAAATAATATATTCTTGTCACTGACGACTTTCACATTTATAATATAGGTTATACTGTTATACCAGACTTAAACTAGGGTGCGGGTCGGTATAATCTTGGAATAAATTCTTATATCAAGTATAACCTATATCTAAGTTATTCCGTGTTTATTGGTAAATATTTTGCCTATACCTGATTTATTCTCAGTATAAATTTTATACTTGGTTTATTAGTTACGCTGTTAAAGTCATAACATATTCCCAATAATCTCTCATTATTCTGTTACAATTATTTAGAAGACACGAAAATATATTTTACTTATTTTCGATATCTTAACTCCAACGAAACGAGTTTTCTGCCTTTATGCGACTGTGCGACTCCCACTAAAACAGTTGGCTTATTTTAATATTCAACACACTCTCGATATAAATTTACCGCCAATTCTTCCCTACACAATAAAAAAAACTATCATTTTTACGACCACAACGGCCAACTGTCACGCTAATTCGTTACCAAAAACAAATTTTTTGTCTACCTAGTACTGGGTTAACTAAGTATATTTGTTGGTTGTTAAAATTCGTAAAACGGCCATAAATCTTTAAGTTTTATTGTTTTTATCATTATGCAGTTTCTTTGCAATGTATAAAAAAGTGGTTTATGGGTGGTTTTTATAAAAAAATTAGAAACCTGAACATGAAAAGCTCAGGTTCTAATTTTGGAAAAAGGTTTGGAACATGAAAAGTTCGTTAAAAAATCGTTAAGGCGGTTGAAAGATTGGCAGTTGTTTTTCAATATAAAAGCTTGATTTAGAGACTTCTTGCTCGGCCGTCGTGCTTAACGTGACAGTAGTTACTCAAGACTTCTCTACCGGTCCTCTTAAATTTTTTGTAAAAATACACGCACTCTACGTAAACCTTACCTCCGTACTCATAGCAGAAAAATAAATAGTTAGTGTTAGTTAAATACTCTTGTAAACCACAATCTTTGTAAACTAGAGTTCAAGGTAAAACAAAGTGCCATAAAATACAACAAAGCAATATTATTATCATTTCGACATAGAAATTGTTTTTGATAAAGGAATATTTCCTCCATACTTAGCCAGTTTCAACGTCTGGTTTGCTTCTTGTGTTGTGAAAAGAAGACAATTTACAACACTTACTCTTAACCTTCAGCTCACCCAGACAAAGGGGTAATTTCAAAAAAGGTTAATATATGAGGGGGTTACTACTGTTACTGTAACTTGAACTCCTCAATGACGTAAGCTAGGTTTCCAACACTAGGAGCCCCTTGTCTCCTCTCGAACAAACATATGTTGTTTACCACATTCCTTATGCTGAATGTAACTCATGTTATATATGGTAAACTTGGCGATCACTCACTCAAATTAACCTCACATTGTAGTGATATTAATTTATCTAAACATTCATGTGCCTTACTGCAAATTTAGCAGATTTAATAACTATTCTGAATATTGTGATGATGGTGATGTATGCAGGGGGAAAGCACCTGTTTCATTTATATTTTTCTTAACATTTCATGTACTTAGTGTCAGTGCAGTGTTACAGTGGTTTTGAATGGGGTATATCCCCTTAATATTTTGCACGAGGGAGGCCAAAGCACCAGTTAGACTGTAGAATCATAGGATGAATGGATATTATTTGTTTTTAACCCTATCCACGAACATATTAAACAGAACTTACTTGTATTAAAACAATAAGAAAGAAAATAGAAGAAGAGTGTATTTTAAATGATATTTTAATTTTTGAGAGTTTTATTTTAAAATTTAAATATTTAACTTTAGTTCATTTGTTAATATTTAATTTGATTTTATATATAAAAAGAAATTTTTCTCATAAATAAAAATATCTAAATACTAGTCTGTATTTAAAAGTTTCATATAACTTTATTACTAACGTAATTTATAAATTTCTTTATAACTTATGAACTAAATATTATTAAAACCAATGTAATTACGTTAACTTATTTATACTAGATTTGTTTTATATCTTAGTAACTAGCAATATCAATGTACCCAACGATTACCATTTGTTGAAAGATTGTTTTTACCTTAAAAATGACTATAGGAACCGAAAGTTGCGAAAATATCGTTGATAAGGAAAAGTAAGTATCCTATAAATGTTATTATTGTGTAGTATTTCCTGGCAGATGTCTTTTAATTATATATTACTTTTCGGGATTATTTACAATGGTCTGGAATTAATTCTTCCTGACGTTTAGTTTGAGTTTGACTTTATAAGGTGACGAGGCAACGCTCAATGGTCTGAGTTCTTTACTAGATAATCAATTTCTTCTTCTTTATGTGCTGTCTTCATCTTTGGAGGTTAGCAGTTACGGTGGCAAACATTTCTTTCTCTTTAGCTGTAAGTAGTACAGTTTCTTCAGAGAAATTTTTCAAAGCAAATATAAATTTCTTCATAATTTGAGGTATTTATCATGTAAGTCAGTTCTCTGCTAAAAATTTAACATTTTATTATCATCGCTATCAAATACCTTTTTGAAATCGACAATACATAGGAAAAAAAACTTTTGTTGTTTGTTTTACAAATAGGAGTTTACAATAGACTAGATATTTGGTCTACGACAATTCCTTGAAAATACAAGTGAATATAATATCGACACACATCCTCTTTTGACAGACTTCGAAAGTGCACATGACAATATAAACGGAGAATTTTTAATAAAAACAATGAACGTGCTTGATATACAAGCACAATTAATAGTATTGATAAAAAAATCTCTAAAAGTGTAAAATCAGGACACAAAACGAATTATCGGAAACAATAGATGTGAAAAAGGGACTACTTCAGATAGACGCCCTATCATGCATCTTGTTCAACATCATAATTGTAAAAATAATAAGGGACGCAACAGTCAATATTCGAGAAAACAAGGAGATCTTAACCACATCTTTTTTATGTGTTTCAAATATCTTCAGCATTCAGGAACTATTTAAACATCTTGCAAACTCTGCAAATATTTCCCCCCTATCAAATAAATAACCGATTGGCTAATAATAATAAAAAAGTCTATGATTGTCTGATTAAATTTATTTACAATGCAAATGTGTGTCTGTAGTCAATTTTAGCTAAGGTCGTTAACCTTGGTTTTAATCCAATTGTTGTATACCGTTCTTTCCGTGACCTATTGCTAGTAATAATTGCTCTAGTACAATTATAATGGCTGTACAACTCAATAAAAATTCGCATACTGATCATGGACATCGGAGACCAAGATCCGGCAAGAGAGGTCATTCCCATGACCACAGGGCCTCTCAGGTCGTTAATATGCAAAATTCCTGTGAAATACCCAATAAAACACCTTTAAGAAAAGTCCACACGAATTGTTTGAAGAGGATATCCACTTGGAACGTTAGGACGATGGCTCGATCAGGAAAAATTCAATGCGCAATTAAAGAAATGGAACGCATGAAAATAGAAATAATGGGCATAAGTAAAATGAGGTGGCCTGACTCAAGTTACTGTGATATAGAAGACTACAGAGTATACTATTCAGGATCAGAAAATGGTAAATATGAGAATGGGGTTGGAATTATCACGCATAAAAGTATAGCCAAACAAGTCAACAACTTCATACCAGTGAACGATAGAATCCTCCTGTTACAAATAAATACGTCACGGTGAACACAAACATCATACAAGTCTATGCACCCACAGCAGACCATAGTGATGAAGAAATATCAGAATTCTACAAACAAATAAGCAACCTTATAAGAGATATACCGAGACACGAACTCCTTATAATCATGGGAGATTTCAATGCAAAAATAGGTAACGGAAAAGAAGGACAACATATTGGTCCCACATGGATTAGGAGAGAGAAATCAACGCGGAGAAACAATGAGTATCTTTTCAGCTGAGCATGACTTAATCGTGCTAAACACATTTTACAAACTACCGCCTAGACGCCTGTATACGTGGAAATCACCTAGAGACAACGGAGAAGATGTTATTATTAGAAATCAAATAGACTATATGCTTGTTAACAAAAGATATCGAAATAGTTTCAACAGTGTTAAAACCTACCCAGGCGCTGATATTCAATCTGACCACAATCCTTTAGTGGGCGTGTATAGAACTAAGTTAAAGAAAATACGCGGAAAAACTGCAAAAAAACATGACATGAGAAAACTGAAATGTAGCGAAGTAAAAGAAATAGTCAGCAAAACATTAAATAGAAAAATTTAAAGAAATCGATAATACAACGGAAAGCACAGAAGATAAGATAGAATCCCTTAAGAAAACAATAGACGACATTAAAGACAATTTTATAAAGAACGAAGAAGGTAAGAATAAGACATGGATGACGACAGAGATTCTGCAACTAATGGAAGAAAGAAGGAAAACAAGAACGATAACTCCATGTATAAAACATTACAGCGAGAGATACAGAGAAAGATCAGAGAAGCCAAACAGAAAGAACTGGAGAAAAAATGCCAAGAAATCGAAATTCTCCAAAGTAAATACGACGACTTCAACGTGCATAAGAAGGTAAGAGAAATTACAGGTAAATGTAAAAACAGAAGAATAAGTAAACTTGTTAATGACAATGGAGAGATAATCGTGGACAAAGAAAGTATCAATGATACCTGGAAAAATTACATAAGAAATTTATTTTTTGATGAGAGAGAGAGAACCAGCCCCCAATACCTACGGAAACAGGACCACCTATACTAGTGGCAGAAATAAGAGCAGCCATAATATCACTAAAAGAAGGTAGAGCTCCAGGACCAGACGGAGTACAATCTGAATTTCTTAAACTTCTTGATGATGAATCTTTAAGAGTACTATGTAAAATCTTCAATAATATCTATGACACAGGCAATATCCCAAAAGATTGGCTACTTTCAGAATTTATTACCTTACCAAAGAAACAGGGGAGCAAAAAAGTGCGGAGAATATAGGCTAATAAGTCTAATGAGCCATACATTAAAACTTTTTCTTAAATTATACATCGTAGAATATATAAGCTATGCGAAGAGAGAATACAAGACACACAGTTTGGATTCATGAAAGGCGTAGGTACAAGAAATACACTGTTTAGTCTACAAGTATTATTTCAAAGATGCAGAGATATGACTTGCGATATTTACACCTGCTTTGTGGACTACCAAAAAGCATTTGATACAGCACCAAAAAATGATGGATATTCTAACAAAAGCCCAAATGGATGATAAAGATCGGCGTATAATACAAAAGTTATACTGGAACCAATCAGCCACAATAAGAACGAATTTTGGAGGTGAACCAACGAAAATGATCCAGATTCTACGAGGCGTTAGACAAGGTTGTATACTTTCTTCTATATTATTTAATCTATATTCAGAGGAAATATTTAGTGAAGCCTTGGAAAAATGCGAACATGGAATACTTCTAAATGGAGAACGCCTAAACAACATCCGTTATGCAGACGACACCGTTATTTTTGCAGACAGTTTGAACAGTTTACAGCAACTAATAAACAAAGTAAATGAAGTAAGTGAAAGATTTGGACTTCAAGTAAATATAACAAAAACTAAATTTATGATCATCAGCAAAAATAAAGTTAGAGACGCTCAACTACTTATCAATAATACACCAGTGGACCGAGTAAAACAGTATAACTATCTTGGAACAACAGTAAATGAACAATGGGATCACTCACAGGAAATAAAATGTAGAATAGAGAAGGCTAGGAGTGCATTCATTAACATGGCCAAACTCTTTAAAAGCCACAATCTTAATCTGGAGATAAAAGTAAGACTCCTACGATGTTATATCTTCTCAATATTGTATTACGGAGTTGAATCCTGGACACTAACTGAAGCAATAGAGAAAAAACTTGAAGCCTTCGAGATGTGGCTATACAGGCGAATTCTAAGGATATCATGGACAGACAAGATAACCAACGAGACCGTATTACGAAGAGTAGGCAAAGAAAGAGAGGTGATGTATACCATTAAAAGGAGAAAGTTGGAATATCTCGGACATATAATGAGAAACAGCACTAAATACAGATTACTGAAGGTAATCCTACAGGGTAAAGTATTCGGAAAGCGAGGAATTGGGAGAAGGAGAATATTATGGTTGAAGAACCTGAGGAAATGGTTCTCCACAACAACAACGAATCTATTTAAAGCATCAGTCAATAAAAGAACGAATAGGCACTGAAAGAAGAAGATTGCTAGTAAGGTATTAAACAAATATCCTGTTTGGTCCCTAGACGAAAAGTGAGTATTCCTGTTTTTCCTTATATTTGTTTTTTCTTGCTATCATGTTCTCTTTTTGTTTGATTCAGTTATAGGGATTTTATGAGGTTTTCTTTAGTCGAATAGATACACTTTCTGCACTAGCAATTATTAGTATAGATGTACATTTTTTTATTTTCTTTAGTATTAATTATATTAGAATATTAATAATAATTGGCTAAATAGCTAAGTGCTAAAGTCATGACAAAAATATTCGAAGCACAATGATTAATAAAAGTGTACAAATACTAGCGTTTGTAGATGATAAGGACATAGTTGCAAGGTCAAGAAGGGAAATGATAGAGGCATTCGATCAAATAAAACGAGCTGCAAAAAATAATGGCTTTACTCATCAGGCCAAAACATAAGCTGGCCAAAACAACTTTTCAGTGTTTTCTGTCGAAGCAATCTGCAGTCTACCTCGTTTTCTTCTAGTAGGCGGAGTCCAGTTTTCTATCTTGTTTGGCCATTTAGTTTCAGGCATTCTCTGTGTCCATACCAGTTTAGTCTTTTGGCTTTAACAGTATCTATTATGTCTAGGTCAATTTTCATTTCTCTCCTAATGTCTACATTTCTTACTCCATCTAGTGTGCCGGGTACATAGTCTCCGATTTCCGTGGCCTGAATTTTTAATTTGTTCTGCCAGTAGCGCAGCGTTAACCGTTCGGCGTCGTTATTTATATAAAAAGCATAATCACGTCACTGTCCACCTCTTCGGATACAGTTGGTACACGTCACATGTGCGAGGTTGGATCTTCCTATGTGGCGTTTACAGTACGGCGTTGTTTCAGACGGCGTGTGAAAATTTTTTTCGACTGTGATTTTGGAAAAGACCAGGGATATATTCTTCACATTC